CCATCTCTGTTTTATTTCAATATTTTATTTGTAGGAGGAAGAATGCGTAAATCTTTCAAAATGACAGTCTCACTTACTAGAAAAGAGCACAATGAAAAATTATATTTTGTAAGAGGAATAACTGAAGTGCGTCACATTTTATTCCAATGATGCAAGTGGAATTTTACCTTCCTTTGCTTTAAAAGACTTAATTCAAAAGCTTCATCCCTTGTCTTGAAAGATGCTTAATGTTACTATTACCACTCACACGCAGAGCTTCCTCAGACTCATAAATCAAATAACATTTCCTCCTTCACTGCATACAGTAGGGACCATGTTTCCTTAGGGGGAATGTTGCTCACACACACACACACCACCATGTACTGTACTGTATATGCTCATGAACATGAACGAACACCCACTGGGATACATGCTGGAAAATTCATGCATGCATGAAGACATTTACCCATTGGCTCAGACTTCTAAAAATAAAACATTTATGTCCCAGAATGGTATCTGTTGCTTCCCCTTGAAGATCCTTCAGTGGTTTGAACACAGTATTTTGAGTTAAATAGATAAAAACATTGAGAAACACTGATCTTATCCTCCCACTCACATGCAGAAACTTGCACTTCATGCCCCCACTCACCATCCCCCCCCGCAATCAAACAACAACACACGCATAAACATAACATGGTGCCATAAACCATCAGAGAATATAGCACCACAACCAGACATTGCAGCACCGTTGCAGCGTTACTAGAAAGACAATTTGCGTGCCAGCAGGTTTCCTCTGGCACTCTCACAGCATGTACACACACACACACATCCATATGCAAACTCACGCCTATTCCACTCAAATAAAAACACACACAGAGCAATTCTTTTCCTCAACTTTAAGAAATTAAAAAGCACAAATAACCCTAGAATTAGATTCACACTTTACTTGATTGTGTGTGTGTGTAAGTGTTATACTAGCATGCAACTCACACAGGCTCCCTACTCCAGCTGGAGAGTTCTCACACAAATCAGCACACACACACACGCTCTTCCCATCATTCATTTGGCGTACAGTTACATGTGGACAGCAGCCAACAGCAGCAGCAGTATAACATCTCTGCTGTGTTTTTGCTCGGGTGTTAAAGCCTTACCTCGGTTCCCCTGCAGATCCTTTACAAGCTGGGGTGAACATCTCGCAGTCAGTGGATGGTGCAGCATTAGCAGGAGACCAGCTGCCAGAGCAGGAGAGGTTGAGTTTGTGTGTGTGAGAGAAGGAGGGAAGAGTAAGAGAGGAGAGGGAGTGCATATATAGGGGGAGGGTACAGCCGTAGAACGCAGGGTAGGACAGAATTATGAGATGAGAGACCTCAAGTAAATGTGCGTGTATGTGTGTAAAAATGGGAGATGGTGTTACCATGGTGAGGGCTACGCCTTAACTCTCTAAGACCAGGGGATTAAAAGACAGCTGACAGGGAAAGTCAGGTTAAAAATAAATGGCAGAATTCACTTTGACAAAGCGGAAAAGACAGACTAAACAGATCAAAGGAGAAAGGCATCATACATTGATATTAATAAGGTGGAAGGGTGAGGTGAGGGGGCGCTGGAAAAGTTCAAAGGCCATGATCAGGGGCAAGATGAGCTCTCGACTCGGATCATTAGCACCGACTGCAGCGCCACAATTGCCTCGACACAGGTTAAGTACATAATCCCTCAGTGGCTGAAGACAACTACAAAAACAACATTTGAAAATCTAATTTGAGGTGCTGACATGGGAGGAAAGCAGAAACGTAAGCAGGAGACGTTGGGTTAAAAGCACACTGTGACATATAAGGTTGTATCTTCTTCATTTTAAGCCTTTTCAAACTGAGTATTTTAACTAAAATAGAATTTGCGTACAGTAAACCCACACCACATCCTTAAAAAGCCTTTGGATAATCTTCACGAAATTATAAGGAAAGCAAAATTAGTTACATAAGATTTGTAGTTTTTTTTGCTACAAAAAACAACAACAATATTCATAACTCACGGATTAATATACTACGTTTTTCTTGTTATATATCTGTTCATCTTTGGTTTTCGGTACATTGAAATAAAAAAAACGAATTATTATTTGATTAAATACAAAGAAACATGAATTATATGTGGCATGGCTTGACCCCATGAGATTACATGAAACCATTACAATAAATTGAGATGGCAGCTAAATGTATGTGGGATTTGTTTTCTACATCATGATTTAGATTTGGATACTGCTTCATTCAATTATGTGGAAATTGATTACCAAGATAAACGCTAGGAGACATAGGACCATTTACTTTTATATTTACAGCTAAAGCTAGCTGTTGTCATACCAGCTAGCTTTCATATGATATAGCACTCTTGCTATAGTTAGATGGTTAGCTGTTTCTCTGTGACATTATAAGAAACAGAAGATCTTTATTGAAAATATAGTCGTGTACAATTACATGTTGCAGGCTTCTCTCTGTGCTGTTTAAAATAGAAAAGAAATAAACAAAAGCGTTGACAAACACAGTATGAAAAAACAAAAATAGAAGGTTTTAATTGTTTGAATTTGCAAAGTTACAAAAGTTTTCGGGTAAAGGCACACAATGTATAGACTTTGTTTATGTGTAAATGAATGGATATTTAAAATAGCAAAAATCAATTAATCCTTATTAATTTGCATTTGCAGTCCATGAGGGGTTGGTGTGTGTGTGTTTGTGTCTGTCACAGTCCTAACAGTAATTGAATAACGTTAATTGAAGGTTATTTAGCTCACGCTTTTATCCAAAGCAACTTACATACACTTCCATATAATGCTACATTCACACAATAGTGACCGACTGGGAAGAACAAGAGTTATTCTGACTCGGACAATGTTTGCTCATGGGTAACATCATTTACTTTAAGATTTGCATGGTTACGTATTTGAAGCAAGTGAAAATGTGTAAAGTGGTTTTTAATGCTTCCACTTGCCATTGTACCTGAGGTATCTTGTTTGAGTGCTCCGCAAATATCGTTGGTCGCGTTCAAGGGAATAGCGCCCGTCATGTTCTTCCCAGTGCTTGCCTGTTATGACCAAATATTAAGTGGGTGCGCTTTGTAGAGGAGTACGACTGTTGGGTGAATAAAACCCTGCCTGCACCTCAGGAGCGTGCTTGAAGGTATTTCAGTAAAGGTCACTTATTTTGACACACATTTTTTGCTCCCAGAGAAACTGGCACTGACACACATATCCTCACAATAACCAACAAACACATGGAATCATAGGTGCCTGTTACTCTATAAAGCTGATCCCCCATTGAAGTACAAAGGCTTCTGGATCAATCCCACAGTATGTGATTCATGTGCAGCTCAGAGGCCTCAGTGCTCCATTGATGACCTATAAAGAAAAAGAGAAACATTGGCCACTCTAAACTGTTTGTTATTGATCTAGTTTCCTGCCAGTGGCTCTGACAACACACACAGAGTCTAACACAGAGAGAAACACGGGGAGGGAAGGACAGATTGCAGGTTTAATTAAATCCTTCCCCCTAATGCACAGACCAAAGCAGACACAACTGAGCCCACAGGTGCATGCCTCTTTTTCATTGCCGCACGCACGCACGCACGCCCGCACGCCCGCACGCACGCACGCCCGCACGCACGCCCGCACGCACGCACGCACGCACGCACGCCCGCACGCACGCACGCACGCACAGACATCAGAGCGTCCTCCTTTGATTTGTTGTGTTTGTTTTGAGGATGTGTCTTCTTATACACTAATCTCCGGGCAGTTTAGTGCTCAGAGAACCTTTGTCAATTCTAATTGGTCCTTCTGGTTGGGGGTTGCCCTGGAAACCAGTTTAGAAAGTGTTGGTTGGAGGTCTGCCAAAGGTTCGGATAAGATTGGCTATAACGGGCTTCTGTAAATGACACTGCATCGTTGACGCAAACAGGCATGCCAACACTATGTATGGTGACGTTGGATGTTTATCCACATTGGAAACATGTAAAACTCCAAACACAATAAAGTGCACCGTGCAAATCTCACTTTGAGGATGACCAACATCCAAATAATTCATAACCTGAATAGTTAAGAGGATGATTTTGATGCTGTTAATTAGAGGAGCCCGGGTTGACGTTGGTGTGTGACAGCGGATATCACTGTTGCATGCAGTGTCTGGAATAGTAACAAGTCCCCCACAGGCCCAAATCTGTCTCCGTGAGCTTTAGTAACAAGCCACACGTCTGAGCCTTTGTCAGAGTGTGAGCTGATGGCACATGCCTTATGCTCAATGCAAGCTAAAGCTCATAGGCCCTTTTATATCTGTGAGAATTAAATTAAACCCCTCTGCAAACAAACCAGCTCCGCTATGGGCAACAATCTCTTCTTTACTTCTTGACACACACATCAAAAATGACTTGTTTTTGCAATTAACTTCATGAATAAATCCCCATTTTCCTAATGATACATGTTTTTACTCTAACATATGATAGAATGTATGTTAATATTAATCAATAAACTGCCAGCTAATAAACCCACCATACTCCACAATATCAATAAATTATACATTGGATTAGTAGAGCAGAACAATTCTGAATTGATTTGGAGTCGTAAAGTCACAATATGTAAGCTTTTTATAATTTAAAATAAAATTGTTTTATTCAGTACATATTTAATCTTTTGACATCCAGGATGTTTTTTATTTATAAATAGTTGTTTATATGAAATAGAGGATGGACTACATTTTAATAAAGAGATGTGTCCTACATGTACAGTCTAGTCGAATACAATGCTGCATTGATTTAGAAAATCGAAATTTGAAAAAGAAGATAATAAACAAATATCAATAAAGAAACTGCTTCATATTCATAACAATGTTCATAACAAGTAGAAGGTGAACACCCCGTGATATGGAAGCTGTTGATAAATATAAAAGTTTCTCTAATAAAAATGCAAATCCTTCCTAAGAATATTTATATAAAATACATGGTGCACTCAGTTCCAATAAAGAGAGATATGTCATACTTGTTCAGTGTAGTTTTATAATGTTGATTTAATTTGTAGTCATTGGGTCACATGATGTGGAAACTTTTAAAAAGAAATTAGAAAGAACTGCGGAATTTTCTTAATGTCCAAATAAAAAACCCCTACTTGTATAGTGTAGTAAAACAATTCTGAAGTCATTTTGGAGTCATATTGTCACATGACCTAGAAGCTTTATCAACAAAAACACTGTTTAATCTGCTGATTCTTTCTTAAAAATATTCATATCAAAATAGAAGCTGGACTTTTATCCAATTAAAAGATGGTACGTCTTATTCGTCCAGTGTAGTAATGATATCTGGTATGGATTGGGGACCACAGGGTCACATGACACAAATGCTATTTAAAAATAATTTGAAGTTTAAACAAATGTCAACACATTTATTATTTTTTTTTTTTCTTTAACATGTTCCCACACAATTTGAACTTTTAAAGAGTTTGCAGCAAGGAATTTATTGGCATATTTGTTGTCACTTTGCACACTTAACAGATGGAGATTATTTTGTGATTAACAAATATTTAACCAGAGGTTCAGGCTTCATTTTCACTAGATATTATATTTCACTAATATTCATATAGTTACTTAAAAAAACATGTTTTACATAAAGTAGCAGGAAGTAATAAAACAGTTGCAAATGTAAATGTGGATAGTGCAATTTTGATGAAGTAAACATTGCAGTAAAGAGTTTAAATGCTTCTGTGCAACAATCCTGAAGGAGAAGTTGCTTTAATGAAAACCTCAGATTCCCAGGGCATCTTTCTGCACCTTACAACCCAGCAGAGTGTTTCCAGCCTCCACACACTCCGCCACACATGGAGCTGAAAACAAACACAGAACCAGTCATCACCAGAGGAGAACAAACTGTTAAAAACAACAGAACATCGATCATTGTTCTGCTTATTACCGTTCGGAGCACGGAGCCATGACACAGCCTTCATAGCCAGAAGCTCCCACTCCTTCTGAGCATCCATCTTGAAACCATGAAGCCAGATCAGAGCCAGAATGGTGGCCCACACTTCCTTGTTCTCCTAATTTACCACAAAAAAACAATAAAACATGGATTAGAACCAACAGGCGAGAAAAAATGTCCCAAAATAATACTGAATTTCCTTGGTCATTTCATCTCTCATCTTCAGAACACAGCAGTAATGTCACCAAAACCTCACTTTAAATTATAATCTATGCCTAATTGCTCCCTATTTGTTTAATAATCCAATATTGTTTCATATTTTCTCTCGTTTGAGTGCTTCATTATTTAGTAAACTCTTGATTGTTGCAGCAATTAGTTTTTTAAGTTCAATATTTTCATTTTTAACAGTTACAAGACGATACAATAGTTAAAAAGCAGCAGTCACAGCCTTGAGCAGTAACCAGATGTAATTATGTTAAATGTGTTTCCATCATTTTAATAACACCATTCCTCTTTATGTATAATGCTATTTGGAACTCACTCATCAAGAGTTCCTCTTAACACATTAGATCATCTTTCCAATGGCAACATGGACATACATTTGAATTGTTGGAGTGCTTAAGTATTTAGTGAGCTCTTGATTCTTGCCACGATTAAATAATAATCTCACACATTTCAGTTTAAACCAGGGGTGTCCAAACTGCGGCCCGGGGGCCAAATGCGGCCCGTTTTCCATATCTAATTGGCCTTCAGCAAATTCTTAAAGTATAATGGTATATGGCCCCCACCTGAAACTCGTGCTTGTCTTATATTGCACTTCTTAAATATATATGTGAGCCTATATTACACAGTAGTTTTCACGTGTTAATAAGCCCACTTTTCAAATACATTCAATCAATTAGAGCTTAGAATCTTAGTTTGATTTCCATAACAAGCTATAAATAGACCCTTCATATTTCCCCTTAAGCAATCTGAGGTGTCTGTTTTAAGGGATGAGCTGCAACAGGATAACTGAAACCCTCTGGAGAGCTGTGAGGTTTCTTAAATCATATTCAAGTAGAAAGCATGATTGATTTTGCTGAATTATAACTTAACCTATGAGGCAGTATACGTCTAGTGAGGGGCCCCGCCCTTTGTATGTTTTTCTGTATGTGGCCCTCAGTGAAAACTGTTTGGACACTCCTGGTTTAAACAAAATGAAAGAACTAGATGAGCAAGTAACCCACCGATGCAGGTTTTGTGTTTTCCACCTCCTCGCTGGTCTTTCCCACAGCAGCAGCCAGAGCTGGATCCAGCTCCCAGCAGCCGGACGCCTTCTGCAGGGAGACCAGCTGCAGCAGAGGGTCTCTGGGAGGCTGCTGGGGCTCAATGTCCAGGGAACAGTTTAATGACTCACGTTGGACGACACCTTCATGTTCAAAAGACACAAGAATTAGCTTAGAAATGTAATGAAATACCATGAAAGTATAATATTTGGCCACAAGTATATACTTAAACCAAAGACATATTATTTCGGAAAAAATGATAGCCACAAAAAAAATCAAAAGGTAGCACAAGATGAAATGGAAAACAATCATCTCTAAAGAAGAGTGGGATTATGTGGAATAATAAATATGCGTGGCTATATGTGTGTTTTTGGTGGTTGGATGTATTGAGCTGTCAACCTAGTTATCTGAAGTGTTGAAGCGATCCTATTTATTTATTTTTTACTTTTATTGTCATTACACAGTAGGCCTACTTACTATGTAACAAAATGGTTTCTCTGCATTTGACCCATCCTAGTGTTAGGAGCAGTGGGCTTCCATTATGAACGGCGCCCGGGGAGCAGTGCCTTGCTCAGGGACACCTAGGTAGCACTTGGTCTTGCCGGGGACTTGAACTGTTGACCTTCCAGTTGCCAAGCCAAGTCCCTATCCACTTCGCCACCATCGCCCCCTATTGACTGTTTTTGTCTCTTTTATTTTTATAATCTAATGAGTGTTATTTCTCTTATTGTATCTTATTATTGTATTTGACTTTGTCTTAAAATGGGAATGTAATCCCCCCCCTACACTGTTGTTGTGTCCTTGTCCTAAAGCTAGTAAGAATGTAAACAATGTTGTTAAAAGAGCTTGGTGAGTCTCTTGCAAATGTCATTTGAATAAATGGACAATGACACAAAGTTTGCAGAAGCAACAATTGTCTATATATGTTTTAGATATTTACTGTATTCCAATAGACCATAGGGACTAGTTCCAATGTGAAGCTAGTAAGAATGTAAACAATGTCTTGTGTCTAATGTTCACAGTAAATACTGAGATACAAAAATCTGTGTGATGAGAAGAGGCTTTGGTTTCTTACCTTTCGATGTGGGCCTTCGTACACATGAGCTTACTTCCATCACCCCATAGAAGAACAAAAACAATAATGAGTCTCTTGCAAATGTCATTTAAATAAACTGGCAATGACACAAAGTTTGCAGAAGCAACAATTATCCATATGTTTTAGATATGTACTGTATTCCAATAGACCATAGGGACTAGTTCCAATGTGAAGCTAGTAAGAATGTAAACAATGTCTTATGGCTAATGTTCACAGTAAATACTGAGATACAAAAATCTGTGTGATGAGAAGAGGCTTTGGTTTCTTACCTGTTCTCCTCATGGCCGTTAAAAGTGTCTTCATTCCTATCATTCCACAGTAAAAAAAACAAAAAAACAAAATGTAGCCCCGGTCTCTTGTCTTTCAAGTCATTGTCTGATTACACAAGACTTACAGAAGCAACAATTATCTATATACATTTCACATTTCACATATTTAATATATATATATTTAATATGTTGTTTTTGGTGGTTGGATGTATTGAGCTGTCAACCTAGTTATCTGAAGTGTTGAAGCGATCCTATTGACTGTTTTTGTCTCTTTGTTTTATAATCTAATGAGTGTTATTTCTCTTATTTTATTATTTTATTTTACGTTGTTGTAAAATGGGAATGTAATCCCCCCCTACACTGTTGTTGTGTCCTAGTAAGCTAGTAAGAATTTACCATTGCTGCGCTTAGGCTTGCTTCCATCATTCCATAGCAAAACAAAAACAACATTTGAGTCTCTTGCAAATGTCATTTGAATAAACTGGCAATTACACAAAGTTTGCAGAAGCAACAATTATCTATATATGTTTTAGATATTTACTGTATTCCAATAGACCATAGGGACTAGTTCCAATGTGAAGCTAGTAAGAATGTAAACAATGTCTTGTGTCTAATGTTCACAGTAAATACTGAGATACAAAAATCTGTGGGATGAAAAGAGGCTTTGGTTTCTTACCTTTCGATTTTTTGGACATTGAACAGTTCTTCCTTCCTATCATTCCACAGTAAAAAAAAAAATGAATCCCCGGTCTCTTGCCAATGTCTTTCAAGTCATTGTCTGATTACACAAGACTTACAGAAGCAACAATTATCTATATACATTTCACATATGTAATATATATATATATATATTTGTTTGGTGGTTGGGTGTATTGAGCTGTCAACCTAGTTATCTGAAGTGTTGAAGCGATCCTATTGACTGTTTCTATCTCTTTGTTTTATAATCTAATGAGTGTTATTTCTCTTATTTTATTATTGTATTTTACGTTGTTGTAAAATGGGAATGTAATCTCCCCCTACACTGTTGTTGTGTCCTAGTCCTGAAGCTAGCAAGAATGTAAACAATGTTGTTAAAAGAGGAATGCAATATTCACTGTACATTATGAGATAAGTAAAAGGTTACTTACTTCCGCAGCTTTCCATTGATTTACATGATTGTGCTTCTATCACTCCATAGAAAAACAAAAACAATAATGAGTCTCTTGCAAATGTCATTTGAATAAATGGGCAATTACACAAAGTTTGCAGAAGCAACAATTGTCCATATGTTTTAGATATTTACTGTATTCCAATAGACCTGAGGGACTAGTTCCAATGTGAAGCTAGTAAAAATGTAAACAATGTCTAATGTTCACAGTAAATACTGAGATAAAAAAATATGTGTGATAAGAAGAGGCTTTGGTTTCTTACCTGAGGCCTGTACTATGAAGCTGGATTTTCGCTTAGCCGGCTAACTTCAGGGAAATCTCGGGCTTTCCGGTCCTACGACGCTGGTTCTCTTTTTAGCAGGCTAGATTTCCATGGTAACTTATGCTGAGCGGCAAACCTGCTCCGGAGCAGGTTAGGTGGCAGGCTAAGAGATCAACTCAGTGAAAGCACCGCCTGCTGACCAATCAGAGCTCCGTGTGCGGAGTTTAAAGCGATCAATTCATATTACAGGATAGAGGAAATACAGAAAAACTGCCATTGAAGGAAAGACGGCCGACCAAAATCAACTGACTGTGTGAACGTGAACATTAATAGAATATCCCCGCCCATCTTCAGAGCAATCTGACTATTATAATATTAGCGTTAAGAAAGCTTACTTAAATATCTGCCATGACATAAGTAACCGGATCAGAGTAACATTAAGTCCGCGGCACTGTGAGTGCAGACGTCGATGTGTCCCATTATCATTCATATCATATCACATCATAATGTATCATATATTTCCTTATTTGAGTCAGCCCTCACCCTCCACACTGCCCTCTCACACCTGGACCCGAAGAACAGGAACACATATGTGAGAATGCTGTTCATTGACTACAGTTCAGCATTCAACACCATTGTGCCCTCCAAGCTGGCCATCAAGCTCAGAGACCTCGGGCTCAACAGCGCCCTCTGTGACTGGATCCTGAACTTCCTGACGGGCAGACCCCAGGCAGTGCGGGTGGGAAATATCACATCCTCCACCCTGATCCTCAACACCGGTGCCCCTCAAGGCTGCGTGCTCAGCCCTCTCCTCTACTCCCTGTTCACCCACGACTGCGTGGCCACACACAGCTCCAACACCATCGTGAAGTTTGCTGATGACACGACCGTCATCGGCCAGATCACAGACGATGACGAGACGGCGTACAGAGAGGAGGTCGAAAACCTGACATCTTGGTGCCAGGAGAACAACCTCCATCTCAACATCAGCAAAACAAAGGAGCTGATTGTGGACTACAGGAAGCAGCAGGGAGAGGGACACGCCCCCATCGCCATCAATGGGACTACGGTGGAGAGAGTCAAAAGCTTCAGGTTCCTTGGGGTCCACATCACTGAGGACCTGACATGGTCTCTTCACACCACCACCATCACCAAGAAAGCTCGACAGCGGCTCTTCTTCCTCCGCAGGTTGAGGAGGTTCAAAATGGATTCCAGGATACTCTGCAACTTCTACAGGTGCACGATAGAGAGTATCCTGACTGGCAGCATGACGGCCTGGTACGGCAGCTGCACCGACCTCGATCGTAAGGCTTTACAGAGGGTGGTGAAAACTGCACAGCACATCACCAGGACGGAGCTGCCATCCATGGAGGACCTTTACTCCCAGCGGCTCAGGAAGAAATCACTACGGATTATCAAAGACCCCCATCACCCCAGCCACAAACTGTTCTTTCTGTTGCCGTCTGGCAGACGTTACCGCAGCATCCTGGCAAGGACAAGAAGATTCGGAGACAGTTTCTTCCCGCGGGCAGTGAGACTGTTAAAAAATTGAACTGTTGAAACAACTTCAAACATTCAACTGCTACTCAGTAGTATGTATCTAATACCTAATATATATATATCATTCCAATAACTTGTATATAGACTCATACTGCACTATTCCACATCATAACTTTATTTCATTTTTATAACTATTATTATTTTTGTATTGCTCATGCTCTTATTATTATTATGTTATGTTATTATGTTGCATTGTTGGAGAAGCCTGTGACATAAGATTTTCAACTGCATAATTACTCTGTAGCTATGTCAGATTGACAATAAAGAACCTTGAACCTTGAACCTTGAAGCTTCTTGAGCCGTATCTGGCCGTGCAACACTCACAGTGTCACATACTGTATGCAGAAGTATTATTTTAAGCAACACATTAAGTTGACGAAACACTCGAGTCAAATGTAATTAAAGTCAGATCCACTCGTGTCTTGGACGGGGCAGTGATTTCATAAACCTGTTAATGTACGCATTCAAACACTTTTTCTTTTACCAGCTGTATTCACCTTGCAGGTGCAGCTATGTGGCTTTTATCCTGGATAAAGTGTTTAAGTCATGGATGTTTAAAGTTTAACTTCTTCATATTTGACTAATATTAAAGTTCACTTTTCATTCAGGAAGTATGACGCTGCGCTGTCAGTACGCTTGTCCGTGTTTGAGATTGGTCGAATGCTCCAAATACCACCCCTTTCATGTGAATGCGCACCTAACTAGATAGGACACGGCTGGCTTGAGCGATCCACTTGATAACCAGCGTCGTAGTACAGTTTAGCCAGAGCGCGTATGTTTTGGATTGGGCCAACCGGCTAACTCAAACATATCCAGGTTAGGTTGAACCAGCTTCGTAGTACAGGCCTCTGTTCTCCTCATGGGCATTGAACAGTCCTGTATTCCTATCATTCCACAGTAAAAAAAAAAAGAATCCCTGGTCTCTTGCCAATGTCTTTCAAGTCATTGTCTGATTACATAAGACTTACAGAAGCAACAATTATCTATATACATTTCACATATTTAATATATATATATATATATATATATATATATATGTTTGGTGGTTGGATGTATTGAGCTGTCAACCTAGTTATCTGAAGTGTTGAAGCGATCCTATTGACTGTTTTTGTCTCTTTGTTTTATAATCTAATGAGTGTTATTACTCTTATTTTATTATTGTATTTTACTTTGTTGTAAAATGGGAATGTAATCTCCCCTACACTGTTGTTGTGTCCTAGTAAGCTAGTAAGAATGTAAACAATGTTGTTAAAAGAGGAATGCAATATTCACTGTACATTATGAGATAAGTAAAAGGTTACTTACCTCCCACATTGACCATTTGTGCACTTGGGCTTGCTTCCATCACTCCATAGCAAAACAAAAACAAAATTTGAGTCTCTTGCAAATATTATTTGAATAAATGGGCAATGACACAAAGTTTGCAGAAGCAACAATTATCTATGTTTTAGATATTTACTGTATTCCAATAGACCATAGGGACTAGTTCCAATGTGAAGCTAGTAAGAATGTAAACAATGTCTTATGGCTAATGTTCACAGTAAATACTGAGATACAAAAATATGTGTGATGAGAAGAGGCTTTGGTTTCTTACCTGTTCTCCTCATGGGCATTGAACAGCTCACCATTCCTATCATTCCACAGTAAAAAAAAAAATGAATCCCTGGTCTCTTGCCAACGTCTTTCAAGTCATTGTCTGATTACACAAGACTTACAGAAGCAACAATTATCTATATACATTTCACATATTTAATATATATATATATTTGTTTGGTGGTTGGGTGTAATGAGCTGTCAACCTAGTTATCTGAAGTGTTGAAGCGATCCTATTGACTGTTTCTATCTCTTTGTTTTATAATCTAATGAGTGTTATTACTCTTATTTTATTATTGAATTTGACTTTGTCTTAAAATGGGAATGTAATCCCCCTACACTGTTGTTGTGTCCTTGTCCTAAAGCTAGTAAGAATGTAAACAATGTTGTTAAAAGAGCTTGGTGAGTCTCTTGCAAATGTCATTTGAATAAATGGACAATGACACAAAGTTTGCAGAAGCAACAATTGTCTATATATGTTTTAGATATTTACTGTATTCCAATAGACCATAGGGACTAGTTCCAATGTGAAGCTAGTAAGAATGTAAACAATGTCTTGTGTCTAATGTTCACAGTAAATACTGAGATACAAAAATCTGTGGGATGAAAAGAGGCTTTGGTTTCTTACCTTTCGATTTTTTGGACATTGAACAGTTCCTTCCTATCATTCCACAGTAAAAAAAAAAATGAATCCCCGGTCTCTTGCCAATGTCTTTCAAGTCATTGTCTGATTACACAAGACTTACAGAAGCAACAATTATCTATATACATTTCACATATGTAATATATATATATATATATTTGTTTGGTGGTTGGATGTATTGAGCTGTCAACCTAGTTATCTGAAGTGTTGAAGCGATCCTATTGACTGTTTCTATCTCTTTGTTTTATAATCTAATGAGTGTTATTACTCTTATTTTATTATTGTATTTTACGTTGTTGTAAAATGGGAATGTAATCTCCCCCTACACTGTTGTTGTGTCCTAGTCCTGAAGCTAGCAAGAATGTAAACAATGTTGTTAAAAGAGGAATGCAATATTCACTGTACATTATGAGATAAGTAAATGGTTACTTACTTCCGCAGCTTTCCATTGATTTACATGATTGTGCTTCCATCACTCCATAGAAAAACAAAAACAATAATGAGTCTCTTGCAAATGTCATTTGAATAAATGGGCAATTACACAAAGTTTGCAGAAGCAACAATTGTCCATATGTTTTAGATATTTACTGTATTCCAATAGACCTGAGGGACTAGTTCCAATGTGAAGCTAGTAAAAATGTAAACAATGTCTAATGTTCACAGTAAATACTGAGATAAAAAAATATGTGTGATAAGAAGAGGCTTTGGTTTCTTACCTGAGGCCTGTACTATGAAGCTGGATTTTCGCTTAGCCGGCTAACTTCAGGGAAATCTCGGGCTTTCCGGTCCTACGACGCTGGTTCTCTTTTTAGCAGGCTAGATTTCCATGGTAACTTATGCTGAGCGGCAAACCTGCTCCGGAGCAGGTTAGGTGGCAGGCTAAGAGATCAACTCAGTGAAAGCACCGCCTGCTGACCAATCAGAGCTCCGTGTGCGGAGTTTAAAGCGATCAATTCATATTACAGGATAGAGGAAATACAGAAAAACTGCCATTGAAGGAAAGACGGCCGACCAAAATCAACTGACTGTGTGAACGTGAACATTAATAGAATATCCCCGCCCATCTTCAGAGCAATCTGACTATTATAATATTAGCGTTAAGAAAGCTTACTTAAATATCTGCCATGACATAAGTAACCGGATCAGAGTAACATTAAGTCCGCGGCACTGTGAGTGCAGACGTCGATGTGTCCCATTATCATTCATATCATATCACATCATAATGTATCATATATTTCCTTATTTGAGTCAGCCCTCACCCTCCACACTGCCCTCTCACACCTGGACCCGAAGAACAGGAACACATATGTGAGAATGCTGTTCATTGACTACAGTTCAGCATTCAACACCATTGTGCCCTCCAAGCTGGCCATCAAGCTCAGAGACCTCGGGCTCAACAGCGCCCTCTGTGACTGGATCCTGAACTTCCTGACGGGCAGACCCCAGGCAGTGCGGGTGGGAAATATCACATCCTCCACCCTGATCCTCAACACCGGAGCCCCTCAAGGCTGCGTGCTCAGCCCTCTCCTCTACTCCCTGTTCACCCACGACTGCGTGGCCACACACAGATCCAACACCATCGTGAAGTTTGCTGATGACACGACCGTCATCGGCCAGATCACAGACGATGACGAGACGGCGTACAGAGAGGAGGTCGAAAACCTGACATCTTGGTGCCAGGAGAACAACCTCCATCTCAACATCAGCAAAACAAAGGAGCTGATTGTGGACTACAGGAAGCAGCAGGGAGAGGGACACGCCCCCATCGCCATCAATGGGACTACGGTGGAGAGAGTCAAAAGCTTCAGGTTCCTTGGGGTCCACATCACTGAGGACCTGACATGGTCTCTTCACACCACCACCATCACCAAGAAAGCTCGACAGCGGCTCTTCTTCCTCCGCAGGTTGAGGAGGTTCAAAATGGATCCCAGGATACTCTGCAACTTCTACAGGTGCACGATAGAGAGTATCCTCACTGGCAGCATGACGGCCTGGTACGGCAGCTGCACCGACCTCGATCGTAAGGCTTTACAGAGGGTGGTGAAAACTGCACAGCACATCACCAGGACGGAGCTGCCATCCATGGAGGACCTTTACTCCCAGCGGCTCAGGAAGAAATCACTACGGATTATCAAAGACCCCCATCACCCCAGCCACAAACTGTTCTTTCTGTTGCCGTCTGGCAGACGTTACCGCAGCATCCTGGCAAGGACAAGAAGATTCGGAGACAGTTTCTTCCCGCGGGCAGTGAGACTGTTAAAAAATTGAACTGTTGAAACAACTTCAAACATTCAACTGCTACTCAGTAGTATGTATCTAATACCTAATATATATATATCATTCCAATAACTTGTATATAGACTCATACTGCACTATTCCACATCATAACTTTATTTCATTTTTATAACTATTATTATTTTTGTATTGCTCATGCTCTTATTATTATTATGTTATGTTATTATGTTGCATTGTTGGAGAAGCCTGTGACATAAGATTTTCAACTGCATAATTACTCTGTAGCTATGTCAGATTGACAATAAAGAACCTTGAACCTTGAACCTTGAAGCTTCTTGAGCCGTATCTGGCCGTGCAACACTCACAGTGTCACATACTGTATGCAGAAGTATTATTTTAAGCAACACATTAAGTTGACGAAACACTCGAGTCAAATGTAATTAAAGTCAGATCCACTCGTGTATTGGACGGGGCAGTGATTTCATAAACCTGTTAATGTACGCATTCAAACACTTTTTCTTTTACCAGCTGTATTCACCTTGCAGGTGCAGCTATGTGGCTTTTATCCTGGATAAAGTGTTTAAGTCATGGATGTTTAAAGTTTAACTTCTTCATATTTGACTAATATTAAAGTTCACTTTTCATTCAGGAAGTATGACGCTGCGCTGTCAGTACGCTTGTCCGTGTTTGAGATTGGTCGAATGCTCCAAATACCACCCCTTTCATGTGAACGCGCACCTAACTAGATAGGACACGGCTGGCTTGAGCGATCCACTTGATAACCAGCGTCGTAGTACAGTTTAGCCAGAGCGCGTATGTTTTGGATTGGGCCAACCGGCTAACTCAAACATATCCAGGTTAGGTTGAACCAGCTTCGTAGTACAGGCCTCTTTTCTCCTCATGGGCATTGAACAGTCCTGTATTCCTATCATTCCACAGTAAAAAAAAAAAGAATCCCTGGTCTCTTGCCAATGTCTTTCAAGTCATTGTCTGATTACATAAGACTTACAGAAGCAACAATTATCTATATACATTTCACATATTTAATATATATATATATATATATATATATGTTTGGTGGTTGGATGTATTGAGCTGTCAACCTAGTTATCTGAAGTGTTGAAGCGATCCTATTGACTGTTTTTGTCTCTTTGTTTTATAATCTAATGAGTGTTATTACTCTTATTTTATTATTGTATTTTACTTTGTTGTAAAATGGGAATGTAATCTCCCCTACACTGTTGTTGTGTCCTAGTAAGCTAGTAAGAATGTAAACAATGTTGTTAAAAGAGGAATGCAATATTCACTGTACATTATGAGATAAGTAAAAGGTTACTTACCTCCCACATTGACCATTTGTGCACTTGGGCTTGCTTCCATCACTCCATAGCAAAACAAAAACAACATTTGAGTCTCTTGCAAATATTATTTGAATAAATGGGCAATGACACAAAGTTTGCAGAAGCAACAATTATCTATGTTTTAGATATTTACTGTATTCCAATAGACCATAGGGACTAGTTCCAATGTGAAGCTAGTAAGAATGTAAACAATGTCTTATGGCTAATGTTCACAGTAAATACTGAGATACAAAAATATGTGTGATGAGAAGAGGCTTTGGTTTCTTACCTGTTCTCCTCATGGGCATTGAACAGCTCACCATTCCTATCATTCCACAGTAAAAAAAAAAATGAATCCCTGGTCTCTTGCCAACGTCTTTCAAGTCATTGTCTGATTACACAAGACTTACAGAAGCAACAATTATCTATATACATTTCACATATTTAATATATATATATATATTTGTTTGGTGGTTGGGTGTAATGAGCTGTCAACCTAGTTATCTGAAGTGTTGAAGCGATCATATTGACTGTTTCTATCTCTTTGTTTTATAATCTAATGAGTGTTATTACTCTTATTTTATTATTGAATTTGACTTTGTCTTAAAATGGGAATGTAATCCCCCCCCCTACACTGTTGTTGTGTCCTTGTCCTAAAGCTAGTAAGAATGTAAACAATGTTGTTAAAAGAGCTTGGTGAGTCTCTTGCAAATGTCATTTGAATAAATGGACAATGACACAAAGTTTGCAGAAGCAACAATTGTCTATATATGTTTTAGATATTTACTGTATTCCAATAGACCATAGGGACTAGTTCCAATGTGAAGCTAGTAAGAATGTAAACAATGTCTTGTGTCTAATGTTCACAGTAAATACTGAGATACAAAAATCTGTGGGATGAAAAGAGGCTTTGGTTTCTTACCTTTCGATTTTTTGGACATTGAACAGTTCCTTCTTATCATTCCACAGTAAAAAAAAAAAATGAATCCCCGGTCTCTTGCCTAATAACTGTAATTATAATAACACAGTGTGTTGAAAGTGACTTGTTACTTACTTGGAATAGGCCTACCCATCATTCCACCACCAGATGCACCACCTCCACACATGGCCATCATTGGCACTTCCGGGGGGAAAAAACATACATACTGTAAGTCCTAGTCTTTTGCAAAAGTCACTTCAATTACTGGCTGATTTTACAATATTTCCAAAAAGCAACACTTTTCAATAAACCATGGAATAAATATATTTACTGTAAAAGCACAAAAAGTCAAGGGAACGATTAAGAAAAAATAGCAAACTAGCAAACTAGTATTTATCCTAAATTTTCTTGAATGTTTTGAGTGTGCTCCCCAAATGCAAAACTTTCCAGAAGCACCTCAATAGAGCCTTGTTTCTTACTGGATGTTGGAACATTTCGGCGCACCAGGGGTCCTTGAATCGTCTCTCCGTTGCCTTTTTTGACAGCAATGAAGGCAGTGAAGGCACTGCTCACTCCTGATTGGACGCTGAGCTCCACCACCTTCTTCTTCACTCCTTCATCTGGCTGTCCTCTGCACTCCATCTCCTCCATCTCCAGGGAGCGAATCAGAGTCCGAGCAGCCAACCTGTGCACCGTTAATCTGCGGATAGGAGAGAGTAAACATCGATCAAGTATGAGTCCCACATGCAAGTTTATCTAAAGACATACAGGTCTTAAACATAGGGTTCATGTATTATCTGCAATCAGAATCAGTTGATTTAAAATGGCATCTCTAAAGCAAAGGAAAGAATGTCCTTCCAATACAAATGTCGGGCAAATATTAAGTAATTAATTGTAGTTATGTCATGCTCTTAAGGCGCAATGCTGTAATAAATATCTTTATATACTGTACTTAATTGGGGCAAATTACATGATCCAAGACAAGTCATACAAATCAATTGGGGGACAAAAAGATCATTAGTGTCATTTATCCAATTCAGGAGATGCTTTTATTATTGCAACTGCTCCAACATCCCTCGTTTTCTACTTTAGCAAAATGGCTTAAACATTCACATTCATCATAGATATTATAATCTAAATTCACAGATAATAATAATAAGTCTGAATAATGCCTGTTTTACCCAGAGTCCTCTGCAGGTTTGAGGCTGAAGTGGAGCTTGTTCTGAGAGGGATGCCCTGCCAGGCTGTACTTCACCGTCACAGAGCCCTCTGCTGCCTCTGGACTCTGAGAGAGCATCACAGTGTTGGTGACGGTCAAATAATACTCAAAGTCATACATTATTTGTGTTTGGCTTCAACATTTACAGTTTGTTTTGATTCTGCCTGTGTTAAAAGATTTCTTAAAAAAAAAAAAAAACAGTCACCAGAATGCCACAAAATTACTTTTAATTACAACCACTCTAAGTCTACACTGTGACACTACTGAGCAATGACATATGGAACTAAAAGTTAATATACAGCACTCCAGTGAGCAGCAAACCCATGGATTATCGTAAGGTATAGCACAATATATATATACAATATATGTGTGTTGTGAATTGACTTAATACAGTCGTTATTCATTTTCACTCTTAACAACCTCATAGTTTGTATTGTTAGGGCACATTACATTTGCACCCTGAATATTCTTGAAATACATTTGGTCTAGAGAAGTTTTATTGGTCCTTCATAAGAATCTAAAGGATGGGATGGGGCTGCACTTACCTGTCCAGTGAGCTGGGCATAAATCAGTGACCTTTGACCCTGGAAAAGTGAAGTGATTGGTGGTGAGAGAACAGTGACAGAGGCTCCCTTCGGCAAATCCCACTTCACTGAGATATCCACCACAGTTGGTTGTAGAGCAAAACGCAGCGACTGCATCACCTGATGAGAAAATGTAATAAAAAAAAATTAGGGACAGCCACTTGGATCTTACTAAATCTATTTAAATACATTTGTAATGATGTCATCCGTCCAAATGTATATAATGACTGTGATGTCTTACTTTGGGTTGCATCCTGTCAGTGCCTGTGATGAACTGAGCGTGACCTCCTCCTTCTTTGGCCAACCCATTGATAAGAGCAGAGCTGGCCCCTCCACCAATCCCGAAAGAGAAACACCTACACAACACAAAGCATTAGAACATGGGACATATTCTGTGGATTCTGTGATCGTTTGCTGTGTTTTGGTGCGTTCACCTGTGGGAACCTGAATTCTTCTTCACCAGATTGATTACTTCTTTGGTGTTCCCCACTTCTCCGTCAGTGAACACAAATAGCTAAGGAGGAGAGTTTACATAGCACTTAAAGAAACATAACATCACACCCAAAAATGTGCAGCATGTGTTGAGTCATCCACTTTATTCTCTGAAACACACATGGTTTAAACGGTAAATTGCAAAGAACAAGGTGTGGCTGAATGTGTGGGGAAATATTTTCACAACCTGTCTAACGTGTGTGTGTGGGGTGTGTATTACTTGTCTAGGTTGATTGGGAATGCAAGCATGGCTGTAAATGTCTTTGAGGGGCCTCAGGATCTCAGTTCCTCCCAGATTTGCTTCCATCTCTCCAACTTTCTTCAGAGCCTCTTCCATGGTCTCCTGGCTGTACTCCACACTCTTACTGCAACCAATGTGCATATTCATGCACAAGCATTAACACCAAAGACAGGAATGAATGTGTTGGGTAATAGTGAGAGACTTACGGGAAGATGTGTTCATGACTGGACCCGAAACTGTAGATGTTGAAAAAGCAGCCCATTGGTAGACTCTTCAACAGGAGCAGCAGAGTATCCTGGAGAGAGGAGATAATAGATGGTAACGCCACTATGTCTAAAAGACTGATTATACCCTACAAATAAAAGATAATGCATACCCTGGCACTCTTTATACGGTCCCCCTGCATGCTGCCAGATCGATCCAATAAGAACACAAACTCTCCACATGAGGCGAGTGAAGACATCACAGCCTGGGAGAACTCAGGGTACAGACTCAGCATCACCACTGGATCCCCCATCAGAGTGCCTGAAACACAGGAGAGACACAATTAATGACCACCACCACTAGAAACTCAAAATAAAAATGTTGAATAATCTCTATTGTCATTATACTGAGGTTTAATGGAAAAGACACAAGAGCATATCAAGGCATTTTCCTTTAGATAGAGGTGGATGACAATGGAACACCTTCACTAAAGTGCACTCACCAGACTTGGCAGAGGTCTGTCCTGCCTCCACCACAGCTGTGGGCTGGTGGGCATCTTTGTAATAAATCAGAAGTTCAACATCTCTGTCAAACTTGTGTCCTGCAGCCAGCTTGACCTGCAGTTCACAGTAAAAACACACTGATTATCTGAGTAAAGAGGAAGAACCACATTATGGAAACATCAGCACTCTACCCACCGTGGCCTGGCTCTGCTCCGTGTTCAGATACTCCAGAGGGTCCAGGGGACAGTTGGACTCTACTTTAGAGACTGGACGAGGAGAGGACACTCGGGCAGAGAAAGACAGACTGTAGGGCACCAGAGAGGCGGGAACAGAGGTCACCTGGACACTGCCACCTTCACTACCTGTAAACAACCAGAGACACATTAGGAATTCTATTGTAAACACATGTGTTGGCCAAGTGCAACTGTGAGTGACAGAGGGAGGTCAGAGAAAGAAAATTGCAATTACCAACTGAAAGACTTGATATTACTTTAAACAAGGCACCAACATACAGAACAACATGCCAACTATTATATTAAAATGAATGTATATTTTTTAGGGCTGTCAGTCGATTAAAATATTTAATCGCGATTAATCGCATGATTGTCCATAGTTAATCGCGATTAATCGCAAATTAATCGCACATTTTTTATCTGTTCTAAATGTACCTTATGGCGCATTTTCATTGCAGCGCGTAGCTCGCTTTAAGCGTGCCGTGTCGTGCCGTCCCCTTTTTTGGTTGTGCTTCCACTAGGCCTCGTTCCGGCACGGCACGGCGCGGGGCCACTTTTTCCCCTCTTTTCTGGCCCTAGAAAATTGTGGTTCTATCGGGGCCAACAAACAGGGCTGAGTCGGGCTGAGTATGCTAAACTAGAGAGAG